AAACCTGACCGAAGTTGTTTTCCACTGAAAATGTGATTCATTCACCTCTAAGAGAAGAGTTACTAACTACCCATTTTCTTTTCTGAAAGCTGAATAGCCCTGATTTTAGTTCGAAACAACCATACTCGTATTTGTGCACATCAGCAATGCCGTGTTTTACTCTTATTTACGGTTGTTTCTTTTCAACACCCATTTCGTGGATCACAAAATGTTTCATTGAACAGGAAACTTAGTTCGAAGACATCATGTATACATAAAATCATTTTAGAAGCATTACCTCTGGAGTTGGAAATGGCAAGTATTCTATTGAGTCTTGGAAGGTGGAATGAATTGATTGGTATGGGCCTGAAATTTAAGGGAAAGCTGAGATTTTGAAAAAATGGGGTTTGGGAGATGGCGCAGGAGGAAATGCAGGTGCTGCCACAGTTTCGTGTGGTCGCAGAGACAGACACCGCCATGGCTGTGGTGTGGAACAAGACGGCACTCCAGCTTTTACGCTTTGAAGTTGTTGGAGTTTTGTGAAAATCATCGTGACGCGTTAGAGAAACAAAATTCAATTTATTAATACAAATGGAGAAGCTATGTAAGACGGAAACTCTCGGCAAAGAATACGTTTTCCGTTTCAGAAACTCTCAAAAACTCTTTGGAAACTCTCTAAATAAGATTTTTTTGAGCAAAAGTTGACGTTTCACGTTTCCCGTGTCCTCATGATTTTCACGTTTCCGTGCAGCATAGTAGAGAACACAAATTTTTAATGAAAACTGGAGAAAGGGGAAAATGAGTTTACCCAACAACTTTCCGAAACAATAAACGAGATATCCGTTTTCTTTAATGAATTAGATAAATGAGCTTACTATGAGAATGTTGTAGTGTGCCGCAACGAGCTATAGTCAATGCTCGACGACCCCTACCGGGTCTGATCAACGATTCAACGGTTTTGTCTGGTCAACGAGCCAACAATACCTGTCTGATCTAGTCAACAACCCAACGATATTTGTTGGCCTGGTGAACAGTCAGGCAATCCCGGTGTAGTCAATGACTCGACGATCCTTTTCTGGTTCGGTCAATGGCCCAACGGTCTTTGTTTGATCTGGTCAAGACCCGGCGACCCCTGTAAGCTCCATTCGAGGATTGGGCGATCCAGGTCCGGTTTGGTCAACCATCAACGGTCCCTATCCGGTCTGATTGACGGCTCGGGAGTTCGGTCTTCGTTTTTTAAATCATTTTTTCAAAGTGAAGATTTCAAGTAGTCATGGACCCGGTTCGAGCCGACCGGCTCAAGAACCGGTCCGGTACTGTGCAGGACCGACCTGGGAAACCGGTTTCCAGTTCCAGGCCTAGGCCCCGCCCGAGGGGGTAACCGGGGGCGGTTCCGAGGCATGAAAAAAGTGAACCGGCCCGTCCGGGCCCGGTTCGGGCCTCTTTTTTGGGGTTTTTTGGGTTTGGGCTTGATTTAGATAGGCTAGGCTTGGTGTTTCAGAGGGGTTTGGGGGGTGAGGGGGATTGGTGGGGGGTAGGGGTTGAAATAAAAAAGAAAACACAAAAAAAATGAACCGGAACCAGCCCGGCCCAGAACCGGTAGACTCTCGGGCTGGAACCGGTAGACTCCCGGGCCGGTCCCGGACTGGGCCTAGGCCCGAACCGGTAGACTCCCGGGCCGGTCCCGGACTAGGCCTAGGCCCGAACCGGAACCGGACCGGGCCTAAGCCCGAACCGGAACCGGACCGGGCCCGATCCACCACTAATTTCAAGGGAAAAAGGTAAATAATTAGTCAAACTAGCCTTTGGGACCGATCAAGACTGGCCGGTTTCAGTCCGAACTTTCCTATAACCGGGATCAGGATACTCTATAATTTATGTCTTTTGATCGGCCAAATGTTTTACAAATTTGAAATTGGAAAATTGGAAATTGAGAACAAAACATTGAAGATAGAAAAACTGAACAATTAAACAAGAAAATTTGATAACAGAAAATAGAAAAGAAAAATTGAAAAATGTCTATATAAGTAAACAGACCCTAAAATTTGTAGCGTTTTGAATTTTTATTTTTTATCCAAAAAGCTAAATGGAAAAACTATTTTACCAAACACATCAATACCTAATTCATGTAATCAAGTAGCTATAAAGTGGTCAAATCAATTAAAAACGATCGATAGGCTCCGAAGTTTGAACCACACACCACCATAACCCATTTGTGGAAGGAGTACATCATGCTTGATGTACTCACCCTTATATCCACCACTAATTTTCTGCATGCGCGTTGCGCAATTGGAAAAAGTGCCCAATAATATTCTTTTTGAAAATATGTACATTAGATATTGATTTGATATGAATACTTTTATTATTTAAGAACATTCATATCAACTTAAAAATAGAGTACTTGATGTTTTGTCATCATGAAAGAGGACCCAAAAATAAAACAAAAAAATGCAAATGCACATACACGCTAGCCCCTATTTTTTAAATTTCATAAGAAAAAGTATCATTAACATACAGTGTGATAAATATCTACTCCGCAGTACATATCTAAATATTGTTGGCTCAAATTCGATCTAATATAAGACCTTCATATAATAAATACGAGATACGAATGAGAGGTACAATAAAAAATACGCACTTTTAGAATAACTTTAAATTAATAATATCAAGTATCTGAATATATGGAAATAACTTTTAATAATATCAAGTATCTGAATATATAACAAAAGTGACATAGAGCACCTCTTAACTAAAAATTCAATCATTTAATTTATCACAAAGTAATGTCAAAATATTAAACACGTGACCATATTGCCAACTATCATTTATTTGATCGTTTGATATAAGTTTTTTATGTTTTAAATGATTGAATTTATTGTCTAAAAGTGGCTTCATATTATTTTTGTAGTTTATTCAAATAGTTGATATTATTAGCTAGTAATCATTTTCAAAGTATGTATTTTTATTGATTCATGCAAAATAGTTTGTTTCGGAAAAGCACTCGTGCTTAGGAGCAAAATTGGGGCATATTAAGATGAGAAGCGGTTATTTTTTAACAAACTTTTATAGACCTATGAAAATGTAGTGGAATACGATAGAAAGTAAGAAGTATACACTTCTTCTGCACGTTGTAGAAGAGTCTATCTCCCTTCTTTTCTTTTTTTCCTTCTCACTTTACCTCTAGAATATATTACTCACAAAACTTTTAGCTCAATACTTGAAGAGTCCTTGGTAACGATGAAATTGATTGAAACGAATGGTTTTGTTAAATTTTATCAAATTCTGAGCAAATTGTCTAAATGTGCCGAATTACAAAAGCATATACTTTACGAAAAAATAGATACAATAGACTTCCTTCAAATTAAGCAGAAAAGTAACACCAATTTTACTTTTATTAATAGCCAATTTAGCCTGTGAAATAAAAAACTGCATGTTTCATAAAAAGTTATCGGAGTATTTGATTAGTCTGATAAGACAAAATAGAGAGTAACAAACAAGCTCAAAATATTACGAGTAACATTTATAATATAAAATAAACTTGTAACAATTTTAGTAATGATTATTTAATACTCCCTTCGTCTAGTTAAGATAATCTCATTTTTCCTTTCATGTCCTCACACTAAGATTGTCTTATATGTAGTATCAAATTTGATAATGTTTGTGTGGTTTAAAATCATTATTACTTCAATTTCACTTTATTGATTCAATATCAATCACATAAATCCACTTTTATTGATAACCACACCACTTCCTCTTGTACTAATATTAGGGAAACGGAGGTAGTAGCAAATGAGATAGATTTTCCAAATTAAGTCACCTATCTTCCTCGAAATTATTTAAAAGACCATTTGGTAACTCGTTATTCATCTTATTAGCATTGTCAGTCAAGTTTTTTACCAAACACTCAACTTTTGATTTCGCACACTGAATTATGCAATAAACAAAATAAGTAAGGTTCGAATAACTTGTATGACTAAATTGGTTAAAATTACTGTAGATGATGTTTTTAGTCATTGTCTATATAATTTTTCTTTAGTCTATTAATAAAATATTTTTTTAAAAATAGTCTTTCTATAAATCAATATATTCGAACATAGTAATATATTGGCAAGCATTTATTCAATTTCAATATCTATTGAGCAAATTTCTATTTCTTGTTTGAGAAAGAAAAGAATAAAGACATCCATATATAGCTCCATACTTATAAATCACACAATAATACGGAGTATGAATGTATGATAATGCTTGTCACAATGTTACGTAGTGCTTGGTATATTTCTTAAGCAAAAAAAGAAATAAGGAAAGACTGGAGCAACTAAGCAAAGAAAAAAGAAACGTGTGTCGTTAATTGTGTTGGAGTAATTATCTTTTTTGACGGAAAACTAAAAGTATTGAAAGCTTGAATTGAAAGTAGGTTAACCAAGTAACTAACGGAGTGGAGGATTCATTAGGTATTAAAGATTCTAGACAAACTAAAGTACAATGCTTTTTGCTCAAAGTACAAGTTGACATTAGCTTATAATTACACCAACACATTTTTCATACTTAAAGTACCCTTACCTTCATTCACTATTATAATATTTTAGATTTAGATGTTTGTGATTTTTTGTCTATGAAACCGGTTCACAAACAAAATATTAGTATGTGTTATTTTGTTTATGCAAATTTTGGACAAACAAAATATTGTCTGTGAATGAGAGTCAAAGATGAAAAAAAACATTTACAAAACATGAGTTAGTATAAAAGTGAATATAATACTCCATATGACCATTTTAATAAGTGGGCATGATTAAATTTCACTAGAGTTGTCTGATAATGGCCACGCTGGATTGACAAATGACAATCCCAGACTCCCAGTCCCACGCAAGAATTCGTAACATGGGGTATATGCCCAATGAGATGCCAATATGCCGAACACCTAACTGTACGTAGAGAGTACAAGGGCATTCCCGTCATTTGCTAACATAGATATTCTTCTCAACGATCAGCGCCCGAAAAGGAGCGGATCGAGTCACATGGACGGGTACGGGTCACGTGACCCGCGTAACGTTAAGCCTACAACTTCCCACATCACCGTTTCCTTTCCTCCCCACATTGCTCTGCTTCACTGGAGCTTCCTCCGCCTGTCTCCTCACCCGCGCCGCCCAATACCACCGCGGCCGCTTCACGCTCTGAATCGTCCCGGCAATGGCTTCCATGAACCGCCTATTCAGATCCCCATCCTCCTCCTTTCCCCTCATACGAAGCTGTTTTTCCACCACCTCCGCCGCCGCTGCATCGGAGACAGTGAAACCGCATAGTGACCTTCATGCCCGCCACACGACCTCTCAAGATCAAAAGGCTAAAGGAATCCAGTGGGTGTTCTTGGGATGCCCCGGCGTCGGAAAGGGGACCTACGCTAGCCGTCTTTCTATTCTCCTCGGAGTTCCGCACATCGCCACCGGCGATCTCGTCCGTGAAGAGCTCAATTCATCAGGGCCTCTCTCTCAGAAGGTATGCTGACATTCCGCATACGCAGAGCTATTATTTTTGTTCATATCGTTATATATGTAGGATCATAATAGCCAATTTCTATAAATCCCATCTTAAAGATGCGTTTTTTGAAATATGTTCTCCTTCGAAAACGGAGGTTATATGAAAACGCAGTGTATGTTTTCATGCTATGGGAGGTTATAGATATAGAATCATACACATGCATACAAGTATTAACTTATGAATCTCTGGAAAAGGAGATATTTGACATGTCAATGTGAAGAAAGCTAATCTGATGTTTCATGTCAATGTGTAATGCATTGTTTCATGGCCGTTTGTCTGGTTAGGGGATTTTAGAGGAAAGGGAAGAGGCAGATTGCTTTTTAATTACTAATTTATCTCTATTGTTAGATCTTTAGAGAAATGGTTATATGGTTACTGGTTAGCTAGATCATGTATCGTGTGTAGCTCTTTAGTTTCACATTTTTTCCGACCATCTAAATCACTAAATTTAGAAACACTTCAAAAAATAAGGTCACCCCTCCTCCCTCAAAATCACGAACCAAACAAGCCTTAAATGCCAAACATTTTACTACAAAATGCATAGTCCTCCTTTCATCTCCTGGTCTTTGATCTTTCAATCATCAACTGGAGTATCGTTTTATGCTTTCTAGCTTGCAGAGATTGTAAACCAAGGGAAGTTGGTTTCAGATGAGATAATACTGAACTTACTGTCAAAGAGGCTAGAGGCTGGAGAAGCTAGAGGTGAAGCAGGATTTATACTTGATGGATTCCCTCGAACTGTTAGGCAAGCAGTAAGTATGTTTCACCTTTTTTTAGTTTGTATGATTTGTTTGTTGACTTTGTTCCACCATGATAGTAAGAACAACATTCTTGCTCTTTATGCTGTGTACTAGTTGTGAATTCTTAAACCTAGTCACAAACTCACACTAAGGGTCTCTGTGGACCCTGAATATATTAGGGAAACCAAAAAGTACTCCATTAAGGGTGTCTCTAAAGGAAAACGTGAAAGAAAGAAAATCTGAGGGAAAATAAAGGATATACCCAAACTCAATAAATGTGTTCTTGATATTTGTTCAAGCTATTATTTATTTTTATATTTCTATTATATAAAGACTAAGAGATTTATATATTTTGGTTCATTAATTTTATTCTTTTATTATTTTTTATTGTGTTTATCAACAATGATTGATAAAGACCTCATATAAGCTGGAGGCCGTCTCCTCTCTTGAGGAAAAATCGGTCATCTTCCTAGGGTTTGCGCCGCTAGGGTCGTTTTTCCGATTTCGATCTCTCTTGATCGAAGATCAGTTTTGTTTTTTCTTGATTTCTGGTTTCGGTCGCGGAAGAGAGGAGAGGAGCGCTCGAAGGATTTGGGCATGGAAACCGAAGGAGGTCGAATGCAGATGAAGATGACTGGAGTCGGTAAACAGGGGATTGAAGGACAATTTCACGCAGATAAGGAGAGCCGAGCAGTGCAAGATACGGACAAATTGGCAATTGTTGATGCTGACGAAGGGGCGGTCGAGTTGGAGGTAAACCGCTTTGATGCAATAACAATCGTCGCAAGAGTCCGTCCTCCTCCAAAACCACCACCAAGGGTTGATCGACGCGGTTTGAAGTTTGATTGTCTATTTTTTCTGCATTTTAATTTCCAGGTTAAGCCATTTGTGTGTTGTTTTATTTTATGTTGTAAGACTCTTGCATTAGGTTTGGGGGATGAGAGGTCTGCGTTAATCGTCATTGGCTTAAAGTTGCCCAATTCAGGTCTAGCGAGTTATACTGCTTTGATAAAGGTGGTTAACTTTGAGTCTCGGCCAAGTGCGGATGGTTACTTGTGGCTCTTTTGTTATCCTGTACCCCTGCTGAATGCTACTTTAATGATATAAAACCCTCTTCGATAAAAAAAAAGACTAAGAAATCTAAATATATGATTTTTACTCTAGTGAAAATAGTCATGTTTCTTTTTCTTTGCATTTTAAGAAAATAACTGGGCTTGACATCTTCCTTCACTTCGCTAGCAATTTCTGTGAACCAAACATACAATCATGGGTTATTTCCAGTGTCGTATAAAAACTCAAATATTTCTTCGATGTTATGGTCTTATGGACATGAATAGTTATAAGAAGCCCAATATGCTATAATCTAAATTGCCATGTGAACCTTTCTTTGTTGAAGTGGGAGATTTTAAATGGTGCACAATAACATCAGAATTACCAACCGTGTGACTAAAAGAGCGTGTCTTTCTCAATGTATGACTAATGGAGTTTTATTCCTACCGTATAACTTGCACATGCTCACGGTTTGTGCACATGGTTTTAATTTTTATTTCAATCCCAATAGTGCCCTTTCAATTTAATTCATGATATGCTATTTCATCCCAAAAAGAAACGGTCTGGCTAAACGATTGGCGTGATACACTCGTGTGTGTCTCCAGCGTCATAATTGTTTTGAGCAATAAAACAAGATAAAACCTCCTAAAAATTAGGAATTAATGAATACAAGATAACTCTCTCCATTAATTTTGTGTTCGTGTCTTTATCAACGGCACCTGTTCTTTTTCACCGGCTGGAACACTTCATTTTTCACCGATGAATTCCTTCGTCGTAGGTTATCCGCCCGGAGATGTCTGGTGCGCATTAATGCCCTCCGTGTGTTATCACTTGAAATTTACGGACCGCCTCCTAGCCGCACACCCCCGTCCCAATTTTGCTGCCGCCCAGCCGTCTCCTCCATTATCATTCATCATCTTCTACTTTTCTATTTTTGAAATTAAGGTTTATTGAAACTACATTAGGATTTGTGGACATTAAACATGGGCAATAAACATAGACCGTGAGCATGACCAATGAACATAACGATAACTATGGTTGAGTATGAAAAGTGAATATGACAATATGTAATAATTTTGTGCATGGCAATGAAGAAATGTATTGATGAAGTATATTTTGCAGTGAATCAGATGTAATAGATCGTGTTATAACATTGGCGGAAAGTGCATTGATTATGACAAGTAGTGCAGTAATGTAGAGCAGTATCACCTTCATGAAATGCAATATAATTAATTAGACGTAAAATATTGAAATTATTAAATCTAAAAAAGTTAAAAAAAAAGAACTATAAATAAATTTCTAAAGTTAATGAGAAGAGAACTAATGTTGGCGGAAGTACAATGATATGTTATCGAAAGTGAAGTAATGTCATGTAGTAATGTTGAACAGTAATTGCAGTATAAAGTGTAGTATTTTTAAATGAAAGAAAATAATGTAAAAATTCAATTTTTTAAATAAAATATTTTAAAAAGGATCAAAAAAATTAAGGTATTTTAAAAAATGCAATATATCGTGTCCGCCGAAATTTTCTCCATGCCCTGCCAGAGTGCCAGATGACTTCCAGTTGAACTTTTCTTTTCAGTTTCTATTTTTTTCAATGCGTGTGTAATGTGTTCGATTACTTGGGGTATTTTTGTACTTTACTTGTATGACATATGCCCGGCCGATTTTCTCTCTCGCTTTTGAGTCATACGAAGGAACAAAAAGAAGGCAAGTCATATATTAAGAACTCTTCCTACTTTTGGTAATATACGGGTAATTCTCCCTTGGTTACTATAGAATTATGATTGTGTTAATTTGTCTAATGTGCTTTTGGTTTGGAGGATAATGGACTATAGAATTATAGAATTACTATCTACCATCTTAGTTAGAAATTAAAAACACACCTTATTTTTTCTAAGTGGTTAGTGATGACGATCTGTGTGTTTATTTCATAAAATTCAAGATTGGGGTAATGTCAGTATGTCACTCAACTCCACTTTAAAGCACTTGCACCAAATAACACCAAGATTGAATCTAACTGGTTGCTCCCTTGCAAATTTGACTCCATTCTCCCTTTGAAACTGATACTTGAAATATATCAGCAACACCTAAAGGATCACTGGTCACTGAACTAATGAAGCTAAACTTCTAGACGGATAACTGTGTTTTGTTGGTCTCGGACTCTCGAGTATGTGGGGATTAACTTTGAGACGAACAATTAGAGTAAAGAAATTGCAGGTCTTTATGGATGGATTGCTAAACCTGTGGCATGGTAGAACCGTAGAATTTAGGATTGGCTTGAGAACCTCATGTTACTCAACTGGACCATAAGGGCCATAAGGCACTTGGGCCAAAGTACACTAAAAGACCGAATCTAGTATATTACCTAGTTCAAACCAAGATATGGTTAACTAATCATTCTCTCTTTGGATTCTCCTATATGGGATTCTAACAGTATTTAGTTTATGGAACAGGAAATATTGAATGATGTGACAGACATAGAGTTGGTTGTCAATCTCAAGCTTCCAGAAAGTGTATTGATTGAGAAATGTCTTGGGAGGAGGATATGCGGTGAGTGCGGGAAGAATTTCAATGTGGCTTCAATTGATGTCAAGGGTGAAAATGGGAGCCCCGATATAAGCATGGCCCCACTACTCCCCCCTCCACAATGTGTTTCAAAGCTAACCACTCGAGCTGACGATACCATAGCTGTTGTCAAGGAGAGGCTTCTTGTATATTATGAGAAGGTATTTCTCTACTTTTATTTTTTAAATACTACTCTGTATCTGGTAGTGATAAAAATGAATGTCTGTCAATGCAATCTCACAGTGAGTTTAGTCTTTTATACAATTATACCCTTCCTCTTACAAACTTGAGAGGAAGATGGAGTTGGTCTTGTACTCATGTTACATTTCTTTCATCCTTATGCATAACTCTTTAATTTCGTTTATGCTTTAAGATATTTCCTTCTAAATAGTTGTTCAGTTGATAATGAAGAGAAGTAGTTCAAGTACATTTCTTGCTCTCAGATCTTGCTTTGTAGGTTATTGCTTTGCTGAATGAAAAAGAATCTATTGCATTTTTTTGATTCTACCTTCATCTTAGATACTTTGTATTAGTTTCTTTAATTTTTATTAAGTTTTATTTTAATTCCTGCCATATGAGATACAATTTCATCAAATTCAACCATTTCATCCTTTTCTAATTTGCAACTAAATTTACCCTTACAAAACGTGCTCTATATATGAGGAATCTCCTCAACCACCATCTCTAGTTCCCATTCTTTCTGCAGAAAGGACAGTTTTCCCACACCTGGAGACGCGATCGTTGGTGGCACCATGTGGTGCTAGTACACTGACGAGACCCACACTTGAAATTTAAATTACAGCATGAAAGGACAGTCCTTTTTTATCAGAAAACCTCATCTGCCCCCTCACCACCAAATGTAGTCATGAGTCATTGTCATTGTCTGATTGTCATGATGGTCTTTAACAAGCCTTTTGACATTTTGCAGAGTCAGCCAGTGGAAGAGTTCTATCGCAGCCAAGGGAAGCTGCTGGAATTTGATTTGCCAGGAGGTATACCAGAATCTTGGCCAAAATTGCTGGAAGTTCTCAACCTCGATGAACATGAGGAAAAACTCTCCGCTGCAGCTTAGATTTCAACACATTGCATGTCTTGCATGGTTGCTGTATGTTTTCCGGAGTAACATTTTTGCCTGTTATTTATTTAATGATTGAGTTGATAAAGAAAATAAAATTAAACATGAAGTTTCCAAGCCAAAGTAGTGTTTTGGCCAAAATAGTTGAATTTCTATAATTGCTTTTGTTTTTTCCTCGAAAGAGTTATGGTGTACCTTAGATAGCATCAGTTGGTTAATTTGTACCATTTTCACTTTGGTAGGTCTATAAAAATATGTACCAGACTTGACTGCAGTTGACTAAGTTTATTCTTTTTGTCTATTGCTTTCAAAGTTACAATATACTCCGCATTAATAGAACCAAATGCTGTTTGTTTTAATATTAACATTGTAACGGTGAAAACATTATATTCAAGTTGTATGTTTGGATTGGCTTGTATTGTTATGCATTTTGACTAGACCAGAGTTCTACACTTCTACCCATGAGGCCATGAGTGGTGGTGGAGACGTGGAGTGCTATGAATCTCTTATCAAAAGCTGTTTTATTAAGGTTACTTATAAATGCAATTTCATGTAGAAGTTCATTTTATGAAATGAAGGATTATTATTTTACAATGTTGGTGACTTGGTGTCACACTTGGTAAATAAATATATTCCATTAGATAAATAAATATCTTTCAAAGCAGATCTCACACATACTTTAAAAAATTGAAATCCATTAAACTAATGGATTTCAATTTTGCTCAACTGTAAATTTTGCTCATTCACTATTTACAGAGTCAGATTAAGAATGTTTTAGATGGATTTTTCAATCCCATACCAAGTCAAGACTTGAACATTTCATATAAGATCATATAAGGCTTATAAAATTTCAGTCCAATTAAAATATTTTAGATCTATTTTATAAAATTTCTTAGATCTATTTTAGTCCAATTAAAATTTCATATAAAATTTCAATCCCGCATGACCAGCAGACCAGCTGATCAGTTGGTCACATGAGTGAAATTTGACGACGGTTGTGTAGGAACAACCTCTCAAAGCGACAGACTTCTCATACACAATAGATACTAATCTAACTTCTGTATTTAACTAAGTAATACAATAGTTTACATCCGCATATGCTCTATGGACCAAGATAAGTGACTTTTGAGTATTCAACCTTTTTCACACAACTAATAAACTAATTTCATTTCTAGCCCCCACCCTTCAGTCCCTTCTTGAATGGATGATAAAATTAGGGGTGGGCAAAATTCGCGGTCCCGGTGTCCCAAACCGAAAAAACCCGATACCGTTCTGAAACTATCCCGATCCATTTAGCCATTTAGGACACAATTATTTCATCCCGAACCGGTCCCACATCGATATTAACCGGGACGGGACCGGGATGTCTATAAAATATCATGTCCAGTCCCAGTGTCCCGTTTGAAATTAATATGTTATTTTAAATTTCTAATGCTATGTAATAGCCAAACCCAATTAAAACATTCTAGTCCTTAGTCTCCCTAGTGTAATTCTATCTTATTTCATGTCTCCCTTAATCTCTTTTCCTTTGTTTCTTTTGATTAAAATTTGTTTAATTCTCATTCCAATACTAATCCATAATATATTATTACATGCGGAATACTATCCTCCGTTCCATAAAAGTTGCAACAGTTTGACTTTCACGTTTGCCAACGCGCAACTTTGACTGTAATTATAGTTATTTACGTATTAGTAAACATTAAAAAAAGTTAATATATTGGAAATTTACATTAATACAAATTTATTAATATTTTATACATAATATTTTTATTATATATATTATTAGAAAATCGTAGTCAAAGTAAGGTGTGTGAATAGTGCAGAAATTCCAATGTTGCAACTTTTATGGAACGGAGGAAGTATTATCTATGATGGAAGAACTACTATTCCAAATTATAGTGTTGTTATAGATTTAATATTTTCAAAATAACTACTATATATATAGTGTCTATATAGATATGATATTTAATTTAATGTGGCATTAAAAAATTACAAGTGTACTACACAGTATAAAAATATTTTGCGCTACTATTCTACTAGAGGAAATACAAGTTAGGAGGACCAAAAAAAATTACAAGACAAAAATAGGGACATCCCGAACTGTCCCGGTTTTTCTCGGGTTGTCCCGGTCCCGTTTTAAATGAGACAACATTGAGATAAAGACTTATCTCATACCGTACCAGACCGTTATTATAAAACCGAGACAGGATCGGGATAAACCAAATCCCGGACCGTCCCTGACTGTGGCCTCCCCTAGATAAAATGATGTGAATAGAAGGGGAAGGCAATGGATGGTCAAACTTTATCTAAAAGCCAAAAACAAAGAATTGAGTAGGTCACCCAATGCCACTCATTAGTCATTACTCATTACCAATTCGGTAAGCCGCAAAGCTAAAATCCAAAAACAATACTCGTACCACATAAAACACTCATAAAATAAAATACGATATACGGAATATATATAAAAATTAATCCTAGAATGTCGATGCCAACTATCAGTCTTACCCTGCTTACTGGTTATGGGTTTCCTGTGTTCATAATTTTGGAGAGCATTCCATATCTTTGTAATCTTTTTATTATTTAAATACTTTGCAAATATTACTTCTTTTATTTGTTTTTCTTAATTAGGTTCTTCTATCCTTCTTCTTCTTCCACTCATTCTATCTACTGGATTTTGCGGTTTAATGCAGATTAAGTTGAATGCTTCTAAGTGAAGTGCAGATGAGTTATTGTAACTTGTAAATCTTTTCTCATATTACTTCTTTCAAATTCACATGCATGCTTTCACCGGTTAAAGATGTACTCATTATTGTTTCTTAAAAGTATTTGATAAATGATTGCTTTTGGTTCCTTTTTAGGGTTTGCTTTTGGATAAAATTTCAGCAATTCTTATATTCTTAACTTTCTGCTTATCATTTCAATGTTGATATCTCCACTCCAAAAGATTTGTATGCTCATTTAGATTCACTGTTTGCGGTTAAAATGTGGTCTTTATTGATTATCTCCCCACCACCCAAAAAACCTTCCATTTCATTTCATTAACTTTAACGTAGTATTTTATTAATTATTAGCTCTAAAAAGGTAAAACTTTTATTAATTACCAGTTCTACTTACTTTTTTGTGTTTATTCAATTAACTTCAACTTATTTAACTTGGCTTTAACACCCTTTTAAAGAAAAATTACATTAAATTCAATGAAACATAACAGATTTTGTTTAAGTATGTGTTGTTTGTGGGCTTGATGGACTTTTCTTATGAAGAATAACATCGGAGTAAATTGGTATCATGATTAGTGTTCTGCTTTTTTTTTTTTGAAAACTCAACATGGATAGTCTGGGCCAATGTTTTGAAATGAATGGTGCTTCTTAACAGCAACTTATCATGTAGGGACATTTAGTTGAATCTCATGTATGAGTAGACAGTGACCAAATGTTGTCCAAGATGGAGATAGAAGAGGTACACAGCAATGTTGTAGTCAAACCAGTTGCGACAAGGCCGAGTTGTTCTGCCTATAGACCTTTCCCTGAGCTTCTTTTGAGTGCAATAAAGGGATCATCCAATCGTGGATGCTCTTGGACGCCCGCCATTAGACCAAAGACAGTTAGACTAAAGGCAGGGGGAAACCATTTTATAATCAGAAAGGTATATAAGTTAAAAGAGTTGGTCAATTTTGTATCCCAACCATACGGTAACACTCCCTGCTGTTATTTTTACTGTCTCGTGCTTTGCTTATTTCAGGCTGAGCCGCCAGGGATTTCAGTTATCTCTTCTGCTTCCAAAATTTTGAAATCAGATGACAAACAAGCCATCACATTCAAACCTACAGCCAAGCTACTTGCCAAGACAAGTGTTCCTCACAACTTGAATATGGTTAGTGTGGCATAATTTTTTTTTGAATAATAATAATAAGGGGGCATCCGGTGCACATTGGCGTCCCCACAAGGCAGGGGTTCGAGGAAGGTTCCCACCACAAGGGTGTATAAGGAGTAAGCTTTCCCTTGTCATTTTGACAAAAGGCTGCTCTGCTGCTCCCAAAACTTGAACCCGTGACACACCAACACCGTTACTGGTGCAGCAAGGCTCCCCTTCTTTTTTGAAGAATAATACTTAAATAGAATGAGTTAGAACCAACATGTGAGCTTAAGCATTTAGATAAAGTGGTCCCACAAATTTAACACGCTACCATGGTAGGCAATGGTTCTTGACCTTGAAACTCACTGTCATCTATTTAGAATTAATTCGTGGGTATGTGAGGCTTTTTTTCGAAAAATAAACCTTGCCTTCACGCTGAATGTTGAAGAGTAGTATTGAAATACTAGTAATATGAATTGTAACAGATCTATGGGCCTTGGCTTTTAGATCATGTGGTCCCAGCCCCACATCTTTAACATGGTGTCAAAGAAGGCCAAGGTCATGATCTTGAAACTCACTGTTTATTAAAATTTAGGGGTGCATTCTAAAAAATCAAACCTGATCGGAAGAGTAGTCTTATGCCTTGTACATGAGTTTGTATGTGATGTTAGGCTTTGTTTGGAAAAAACTAGATCCGATGGTTTTACGATTTAATGTTAATCAACTACTCATTTTATGTGAGACAATGGTAGTTCAGTGGAATGTGTTAAGCATGTAATATATGGGTATTAAATTAAATACCTGTGTGGTTTTCTCCTTCCTTTTAGACAAGTTGTACAAGTAGGAAGGAAAAAGAAGCAGGAGAGGAGTCAAACAGAAGAGTCAAATCATGTGAACATAGAAGAAGGAAGAAATTTGTTGATGACTCGAGGATGACATTAGAAGAGGATGAACGGTCATTGCTTCGGACTAGTAGTATGGACAGTCTTTCAAACGACGGATATAATTGGAGGAAATACGGGCAGAAGCATGTTAAGGGAAGCAAGTACCTGAGAAGTTACTACAAGTGCACTCATCCAAAGTGTCCGGTGAAGAAGAATGTGGAAAGATCAGCTGACAATGAGATTGCACAAATTGTGTACAAAGGAGAGCACAACCATCCCAAGCCATGCCTTCCAGGGTACAACACCGTGAGAGAGGGAGTAGAACTGCACTCCAACGATAGCATCTTGTGGAGTGAGACACTTACCTTTCAAAATGAAGAGAATAGTAAACATAAGTCTAAGCTTTCTACACCACCATCATGCTATCCTTCCATTGCATCATTCTTCGGTGCCGTTTCTACTCATGAAAACTCTTGCAGTCCTAGTGGGGTGTTTGGAGATGGAAGTGAAAGACTATTAGAGGCAGAAGGTGTTGATGATCAGAAAGGAAAAAGAAGGTAATTATTTACTTCAAATATAAGGGAAAGGGAAAATCACACTTTTTACAGTTTTTGTTCCTTAGTGTGACAATGTGCACGATAACACGTGTCTTCCGAATTTTATAAATTTAATCACTCAATCG